GGCTATTTTCAATCAAGGTCGTAAAACGGAATCAGAGTGAGTTAATCATTCCATGATTTTTTTTTCTGTTGTTCTTATTGTTCACCTGGGTGTCTCATAAGTGAAAGTGAGCAATTTACTTATTATTTTTGTAAAATAATAAGGTTAAATTATACTCAAAGCCCCGTTTGTCAACAACAAATAAACGCTTACAGTTATATTTCATTATTATTTCTACTACAGTCTATTGCATCCCAGTCTATTTATTATACAGAATGCTCAAAAACTTCTATTGTCAGCCAAAAACTCATATTATTGTATTTTAATCAAAGAAAAACCATGCATGATGAAATAACAGCCTAAACAAATAAGCTGCCACAAGTGACAAAAAACTCCACCAGTCCAGCATATGAAACTGTACATAACTTCCTCATTATTTTTTTATAGGTTTCTTCGATCAGTGTCATACAGACAATTTACTCGACTTCTTTGGGAGTTTACGGGAAGTTCCAAGCGTCATCCACTGCCATGTTGTGCTTACAAAGCAATAAGGACAGCCTTTCTGAGTGAAGATGGCCAGTATCATGGCTTTGAAGATGACGAATCATAGATAGTGTTCATTATCATTATTCTGTATATTTTGTTTTCATACATTATGTGAACCATCCTTTCAAGACTTGTGGTTTGCAAAGAGATTAATATGAGCAGTACAGAGCCTGTTATATTTTGGCTTCTCTTTTCTCCAAAAATGAAAATAATAACAATGATGTGTACCATGAATATTTAGGTCATTTATGTTAGAACAGTACAGTGTCATCAAAAATAAATGATTATCAGGTTTTTCTTTGTAACTTCAGTAGCATTTAATCATTTTGTGAAGCAGTGCATGTGTGTCCTCTTCTTGGCTGTCCACATTTTCTGCATAGCTGTGCTCTCCCTCTTCTTCTGCTTGTATTTGTTCTTGACATTGGTCTTGACTGGTCACTTTCCTCTAACAAGGTTTGCAGTTCAGCTTCTGTAGATAATCAGGTGAAAGTCAAGTAAACTTACAACTGAAAGAAATTAATTCTTTTTCATACAGATTACTATAAAAAATATTGCTTCTGAAAACCTGTTTCCCAGCTTCAAATTCAGTAGAATGTTTGAGTGTTTGGATGAAAATGTTGATGAAAAACCTAGAGCGGGTATTGCATTGCCAAGACATTTTACCTGAACATGTTGGAGGACAAATCACTGTTTCCTTGTTTTTTCTTTCATTGTGTTTCCGTATTGCATCATCTTTGGATTGCTTCTCAAGCATTGAGTGCATAGGGTCTGGAACCACCTGTTTTAGCTCTTCTTCTATCAGTTGGAGGTTCCGTCGTGGAGTTGTTATTAGAGATTCATAAATCTCCGCCACATACTCTAAGGAGAAAGGCAGTTACAAAAGTTCTTCATGGAAGTACTTTGCATAATGACTTCACAAGCTAAAGTAAGTTCACTTTTTGACTAACTGTGATTATTAGAATCTACATTTTACTCTCTCTAGAAAGGAAATGTGGATTACAAGACATCATAAGTAGTAGCTTATTAGCATAGCTAAATTAAATTGCTGAATATTTTCTGACAGCAGCTAACCTGTCTGCAGTCATGATAATACCAGGAAACCTGTTGATGTACACCTGTACATGTAGATATTTGATTTTGAGAATAGACATCATTTTAAAGTTGTCCAACTTGGAAACTTACAGGTATACTTTGCTACAATGGTCCTTATCAAAGACTTACCATAATTAGGAGCTACCCTGACTTCCCTGACTGTTGCTTCTCCTTCCTTGTACTTTGGGTATGAGATGTGAAGGCGTGGTTTGCCCTGGTCATCCACCTTTGTCTCTCTTCTGAGGTTGTAATTAAAATGAAGGGCAGCCAGTACTGATCTTAAAAAAAAGAAAAGGAAGAGAGAAGGGTACAAAGTAATCAGAATGTATTAAATTATGTGACAAGTTCTACCAGTTTTGCAAACTGCCTATATCTATCAAAAAAGGCATCCCAGCATCCCAGTGCCTTTCCTCATACTTTTTGAATTTTGTTTGCTTTTTCAAGATTTACTTTAGTGTTGCTATGTTTAAATACATACCGGTAAGCCTTAAATTTCACGTACCTACAAAGCATTCCCAGGTATGAGTAGGCCAGCATCTTTGGGGCAAATTGGTTGACTACTGAATGATACCCTTCCAGGCAGCTTGTTTGCTCAACTGAGGAAGCTTTTTCTATTCCTTTAGTAAGGCTGCTTTTCGTAAGGGCGGTATACAGCTTTTCATATGCCTCTGACACTAGCATGAATGAAAGCAATACAGTGGAAATGTTTGTCATATTGTGGTTTTTAGATGAAATTTATAAATCAGGTGATCACTAGTTGTAAATTATTTTTTTTTTATTTAGGGTAAAAAAAAGAAAAAGGACAGTGATATTTCATATTTTTCATATTTTTTTCAATTGTTGACAGTTTTTAGTTGCATTTGAGCAGATGGGGCTGAAATTCTTGAACATGACCGAAAATAGCTCAACCAAGCTTTGCAATGTTACAGTTATGTAGTCGTATATCCAAGACATTTGGTCAACATAATAAGATCAACATAGAGTGCGGCAGCAAGTGAGGCTTTTGTACCTTTAGACATCCATACTTTTGGTGTGATGACTTCACCGTGAGCACAAGCATTGAATAGCCTATTAGGAAGGTTCTTGTGTTTGACATGACTGAGGAATGCTTGGAACTTTGCAACCTTGACCTTTCCAAGACTTTCTTGAGTGGAAGTCACTGCCCAGTAAAAATGTCTAACACAGGCCTTCCTCCAGCGGCCAATGATCTCACAATTTTTTTCCTTGCTCAGTTTTGTTAGAACTTTTTGGATTTCTGTGAAAATAGCAAAACAATTCAACATTAAGTGCTTTTCTACAATATACATGTACAATAAATTTGATCAAGGCACAGAGAAGCAGAGACATTGTCTCCTCTGATAATGAGAGTACTATTTCACTACAGATTCTAGGTCATAGGTTTTTTACACTGTGCCCTAGGGCAAGGTACGACAATAACTATAATAAAAAGAAGTAATGGTAATATTGATATATGTATATGATTACATACGATGAAAACATATATTAGGTTACTTATTGTTTTTGCATACTTTTCCCAATGTGCCAAAGATCAAAAAAATGATTGATAACTGGCTTGCCAAGTTCAGCACACTTCTTGCCACATTCTTCTCTCATCCACTTAGCAATGGAAGCATGGCGGTCAGAGATAAATGACTTGACAATCATGCCTGTGGCTAGAATATATGTCATGGCTTCCTTGAAGGCCATAAACTCGATACCAGAACTGCTTCCTGCCTGATTAGCCTAGAAAATACAAGACAGACGGGTGTTTTGTTATAAATGTGTTTTTTTTTCCAGTTCAAGCATTCAGATTTTGTCTTTTGACCACATTTCTTTAACATGGCCTTGCTTTTCTGATTCTGCAGTTCATAGATATTTATAATAATTATTGAAATTAAATTTACCCTTGCTTTGGGTTTGGTGTTACTACATGACTGTATGATTTTTATGAGGTTTTTTTCACTTGCCTGTAATAAAACAATATGAATAATAAGGCCAACAGTACAACAAAATATAGTATAAGTGCCATATTTTGCTGAGTGGCCCATGCAGTCGTGGCGCCCATCTCCTGCTAAAACTACTTCTTTTCCTTACAGGGAATCCAGCAGTTTTGTTTGGTATTTACGCCAGAATGAGATGATAGTGGGAATGAGGAGATGCCGCTGATGGTAGTAGTAGGTGGGCTCATTGTAGACAAGTACTCCCATGTGCCGAAACACTGTCAACATTTTCTTTATTGATGCTCCAGCACAAAGAGTTGCAAAGCTGAGGAGAAGGTTGCCTGCTGGAAATTTGCCCATAAGGAATGGCTGGCTTTCCCAGGTAAATATCTCTTGACAACTGCTGCATTTGGCTTTAATGGTCAATAGAGTTCCTGTTTGTGTGCAAACAGTTTCTGGGTTGGGAGTAAGACAATAATGGCAGTACTGAAACAGTAGTAACAGCTTGGATAAAAAAACAATGCCTTTAGGCTCCTCACGCTTGTTCTTTCCTGCGTAGTTCAGCCTGTTGTGTGATAAATAATAATAGTAATTTTAGAAATGAGTCAGATATTTCCCATTTTTCATCCAATGTCAAGTCATGGAAGATGCCTTTAAAGTCATACAAAGAAATAATCAGTGTATCGTACTCTCTCTTAAAATACTAATACCGGTACATGTATATCTCCAGGACAACACATTTAATGGTGTTGCTGTGGTGGATGTGCCTTTTTTAGGAAGGGATAGGGGGGTAGAAAGGCTTTTTCTCCCTTTTTTACTTCGCAAATAATGAGATTTTTATTCAAGACAAGATGGACCACACTTGCATGCGCATGTCTGCATTAACTAGTAAGTTATGGTACATCCTATACAGTACCTAGGCTTTGTTGTTTGGCTGTCATTCGCATTATCGTCTCCTAATTCCTGATAGACTTCATCTAATTTTTCAGGAGTCCAGTCAGGATCATCATCATTCTCAGGCTCTTCATTGTCATCATCGTCATCACTAATCTCTGTAAAGTCATCTACACTGTTATTCTGGTCACCAAACACAGTGGAATTAGCATTGTGAGCTTGTGCTGTGTTATCTAGAGAAAAGGAATCATTATGGCTTAGATTATCTATATTTGTAGCCTATCAACGACAAGTAGATTATTTATCTGATGGAATAGTTTCTGTAATTTGTACTAAATTTGAAAAAAAATTGGATGTTGTTTGAAAACCAAGGTTTGACTGCCTTTTTACTAATATACATGGAGTATCCATCAAAGATAAACAGCACAAATGAGAATAACTGCAAAGTCTTGTATAGCCCACAATTTGGAATACTCCTCCCCCAACAACCCAACACAAATTCAGAACACTCACCACAATCTGACTCTAAATGATCTTTAGATGCATTTAAGTGAATCTCCTGCAAAGTCTCCACCCACTGCTTTTGATTGTTTGCGAGCTTGTTAGTCAGTCTGGTGACTTTAAATCGTAATACTTTGATCTCTTTTTTGAGTTCTTTATTCTCTGTAGAGAGGTCTTGACAAGTGCTGCATTCACCTTGATTTTCATGTGCCTATCAATAAGTTGAAAATTCAGCTTTTAATATCTTTACATGTAAAAAACTGTCACTTTAAATGGCTTATGCATTGGCCCCAGTCAACATATTTAGTATACTGTGGTAATCTAAAATTATTACTTTTTTGGCTGTATATGAGTCTACAATGACGTGGCCAAAAGGGCATCAGAGTGAAACATTTGTGCGAGTTCTAAAAAATGTTTTTCTTTTCAATTGCTGTTGCAGTTGCCCGCTGTGTTTTAAAAACCATAACTTCCTTTTGGAGGTTTGTGGGTTTCTTTGTGACTTATTGTGCATGACAGTAAAAATGAAGTACAGCAGTTTGAAGATACTTTGAAGAAAGTCAAAGTGGACTAACATTCATTAAAAAAATAATGTTGCTTGCTTCCTGTTTATGATACTTACAGTTGGGGTTATTGGTGTTGATGCAGCAGCAGGTAGAAATTGTGATGAGACATGGTCCTACAATATTGTTAGAAGAACAAAAGTCAAATTCTCATAACAATAGATGTAATAATTATTATAATGAAGGTAATATGGTACTGTTACACGTTTTCTTTGAAATAAAAGAAATCCCTTACCATCGAGCTTGATGAGCACAGTGAGTTACTTGTATCCATATCTGCATGCACTGAACCTTCTATTGGAGTTGTTTCAGTAGTTTGTTCAACCTAAGAATAAGTATAATTTTTGATAAGAATGTAAGAAGCATGCCATTTTTTAAGCAAAGCAAGTGGAAGTCTGCCCGGAAATACCTGCATTGAGTTTGATGATGAAAGGGGATCGTTTACTGCATACTCCTCAACCTCTTCTTCCATTTCTTCAATTTCATTACTGTCCGGCTCCCTCTCCAGCTTCCACTGGACGAAAAAACGGATTTACCTCTATAGCAAATTTGGAGCAAATCATCTGCAAATGCCACATTTGCTTAATTTTGCTCAATTTTGCCACATGACATAGGACCAACTTTGCCATAATTTTGCATCAGTGGCAAAGGTGGTAAATGCCGAATTTGCCTCAAATTTGCTCCGTGTGTAAAAACAAGGATAACCTTTACTTTATCAAGGCATTTACAGGGGTGTCAAACTTGATAGCAAAACTGACATTTGTCAGGTTTTTGCCCAAATGGCCAAAACGGATCGAAGATGAATTTTGAATGCTTTTGCTCTCTATAGCAAATTCGGTCAAAGTAGTAATTTGCCACATTTTTGCTCAATGTAGCAAAAGTGACCAAAACTCATTTTTCAACAGTTTTGCCCAGGATAGTAAATCTGAGCAAAAATTCACTTTATTTGTGTATCGCCCAGTGTAGTAAATGAGGTCAAATTATCACTTCTTCCGTATCTTTGCTCAGTGTGGTAAATATGATCAAAATAGGCGTTTGCCACTGTTTTGCTCAGGGTAGCAAATTTGGCCAAATACCACTTTTTTCTCAAGTTTGCTCAGGATGGCAGATATGATCAAAACAGTAGTTTCCCATACTTTTCCCCATTGTAGCAAAGTTCATCAAATATCAGTTCTTCTGTATCTTTGCTCAGGATGGCAAATATTGCCATGATAGCAGTTTTCCATACTTAAAGTAAGGTAAACAAAGTTGATTAAAATATCACTTTTTTACACTTTCACTCAAGATAGCAAATTTGATCAAAACATCATTATCCAGATGTTTCTTATTTTTATTTGGTACCATAAATGACTCACAAACAATTAAGACACCAAACAAAATTTCAAGAATAAAATGACTTTATTATCTTTAATATACACTGTACAATAAAAAGCAAGATAAATTAAAAGAAAGTTCCATTGGCCTCTGCAGGGCACTGCATGTACCACAAAATATATGCCTTTAAATAAAAAGCACATACAATGTGAAACTATCTAAATTCATAAGTGTATAAGAATGTACATTGGGTTTGAAAGTGCAAGTCAACACTAGCTGGTTCATAATTATCTAAGGTTGGTACAGGTAAAACGTAACTCGATCCATTTGAGTGGTATACTTCAAATATACTCTTTCTAGATTCAATTGATACTATTGGCAAATGGTTGTACGATGACAACAAGTACACATCACTCCCAATGTAGATGTGACATCCTTATTAACGGACAGAACATCAACCACAGGAAATAAAATTAGCCTCAAATTATTATGATAAGCGATATTCCTCTAATTATTATTTATAAGAACTTGTTTTCATCTGATAAATATTATCCACTACCCAAAATAGGCAGTGAATAATATCATATAGTGTACCTAGTGCTATTCACTTACCCCAAGGGGAGATACATCTGTATGATTCATTTTTAACCAAATCAGTTATATAAAAATATTTCTTGTAAATAAAATGAGTTACTATCACAAAAGCTCTGTGCATTTCTATGATTTGGGTACGACTTTGATATATTTTTACCCAGCAGTAAACACTTATAAGGTTAATTTTGTCACCTTTTTAGCATGTACATGTATTTTATTTTACAGGTGCTTTATTTACTGCTAAACCTCTAAAACTAGCATGAAATGACACCCCAATTTTACTCTCATCCTATAGGTAGCCAAAAGCTTTTCAAGTTATGAAAGCAAATCTGCTATCCACTGATTTGGCTGTTTTGCTTGCAGTATTGGACTGATTAAATATCCAAATTATCCAAACACAATCTATACACTATGAAAGCTCTGTAGAACTTCTTTAATTCATCATCATTATTATTGTTATTGGCATGCAGGTGATTAAAATTTAAGCCATGCTTATCAAAAAAACTGTTATCACACACGTTATTTTTTTTTGGCATAAAACATAACTGCACTCTTTTTTTCATAAAATATGCCAAGAACAAAATAGGATCATGGCATTTGGAGTCCAGTAATTACTCTACTATGGGGTGTATTGGCTAGATTTAGTCCTCGGAGTGGCACTTTTTAAGGCAGTGCTTAGGGTAGCCCTAGAAATCTGTCACCACTGCGGAAAGTGGATGCAGATGTATCTCCAATTACATATGTTGGGTGAATGGACACGATGACTGAAAATACAGCTGCATTTACAGGCTACTAGATGGAAGGTTTTTAAAATTCAGTAAAGTTGCCAAGTTACAGAGTGATTCGGTGCAAACTAACAAGGACAGCTCTGCAAAGATGGCAAATTTTGCAGACATTTGTCTGGTAAGGGAAAGTTTGTGGCTCCACCATACCATACAAAGGTCATTGAGATTATGTGACTTTGTGTCAACACTTTATTTCAAATGGGACTAATCACAAACAGCATAAGAACCTAGCCAATCACAAAATGCTGACATACATGCATGTCTTTGTGACCCAGTGGGATTCAAACATGATATTGTGCACTAATTCTCAGACGGCATGCTCTATACAGAAGGTTTAGAGTGTCTGCAACACAGGCAAGATCTTCATTGGATTGTGACAAATCACTTTGAGATTTGGTAATTTACCTAGTTTTAACGTGGCTCCATCCCATGGGTGTCAAAGGATATTCACTTACTACATTGTAGGTCTTCATCAAAACTCAAAAAATTGTGCAATTGTCTACTGAGTAAATATGGTTCTAGGAACTTAACTGAAAAGGAACTGAATCATGATGCATGTCAACTTCAACTTGAGTGTTATTATTATTTTGTACATTTTTATCTAAAATGTCTTCTTCTTTTCTGAATGTTCTTCAAAAAATTATCTGTGTTATGCTTATGATCAAGTTCCTTTTTCTATTGTAAGTGGTGGGTGCCAGAGCAAACTCAGGAGCATCGTCTGGTGCTCCTTGATTTGATGCTGGTCTCACTGTGTGCTCTATTACCATTATTTTCACTTCATTGACTTTGACACCATGCAACTTTGCGGTCCAACTGGGCCATTAAACCATTAACCTCAATGCTCTGCCAGGAAAGTGGCCTTACACAGAGATTTTCCCTGTTTGGGAGGTCCTCATCTGAACCTGAAGAATTACCTTCATGCCACTCTGATACAGCTGTTTCAGACAAAGACTCCTCTGATGACATATATTCAACGGACATACATGCAAGGTACTTGTCCTTGTCTGACTAACTGATGCTAGTTGACTCCCTCAGAGCATATTGGCCTTTTAATTTTTTTTCTGAAAGAAAAATGACGAACCATGATTTAGCAGCCAACAAGTAACCCACAGTTGGTAAACAAGCATATACTGCTCATACTCAGTGTAAATGATTGGGTTGCAGAACAATGACACGATGCTAAAAGCTGAAAACACTCTCTTAATCAAAGGAATAGTTTGAGGATATTTGTGAGAAAAATTTCTCCCTGCATTTTATTCCTACTAACTTTTTCATTAAATATATAATATGTTTTTTGGAACAGGTGTTAAAGTAGAGAGCAGAAATGCCTCTTTCTGTTGAATCTGCATTTGTTTCATTAAGACTCTTTTAAGTGTAAATAAAGACTGAAATAAATTAATTCCCCTGTCATTCAAGAGCAGAACTGATAGTGTCCCACAGGTCACCAGGCTCTAACAGAGCACAACCATGACTCAACTGTACACATAAACCGTAAAACCGGTCAGAACCCGAGAAACGTAACATTAAGGCAACCCACATGTTGCTTAGAACAATAATTGATTAATTGTGGTTATTTGGCATGATAAAGCCAAAGCATTTACTAGCAAAATGAACTAACAAAGATCCCTCAACATCATTGAGCTGTACAAAAGGTATAAATAATGAGGTATTGTCGTTTAAAATATGGAACAGTAATACAGTGGTCACTTGGAATGACACTTATGCTTCAGGATCTGGCAAGTGCCGTCATTCGCAAAATGAGCCAAAATTAAGATCTCACAATATCACTGACCCATATTTATAAAGCGTAAGAGTTTTGGATGGTACAATTTATGAAAGAAGAATCACTTGTCATTTAAATGTGGAACAATAATGTGGTGGTCACTCGGAATGACACATAGGCTTCAAGATCTGGCATACGCCGTCACTGCAAAATGAACCAAAATTAAGATCTCACAATATCACTGAACCATATGTGTAAACCATAAGAGTTTTGGATGGTACAATCAACATCATTGAGCTGTACAAAAGGTATAAATAATGAGGTATTGTCGTTTAAAATATGGAACAGTAATACAGTGGTCACTTGGAATGACACTTATGCTTCAGGATCTGGCAAGTGCCGTCATTCGCAAAATGAGCCAAAATTAAGATCTCACAATATCACTGACCCATATTTATAAAGCGTAAGAGTTTTGGATGGTACAATTTATGAAAGAAGAATCACTTGTCATTTAAATGTGGAACAATAATGTGGTGGTCACTCGGAATGACACATAGGCTTCAAGATCTGGCATACGCCGTCACTCGCAAAATGAACCAAAATTAAGATCTCACAATATCACTGAACCATATGTGTAAACCATAAGAGTTTTGGATGGTACAATCAACATCATTGAGCTGTACAAAAGGTATAAATAATGAGGTATTGTCGTTTAAAATATGGAACAGTAATACAGTGGTCACTTGGAATGACACTTATGCTTCAGGATCTGGCAAGTGCCGTCATTCGCAAAATGAGCCAAAATTAAGATCTCACAATATCACTGACCCATATTTATAAAGCGTAAGAGTTTTGGATGGTACAATTTATGAAAGAAGAATCACTTGTCATTTAAATGTGGAACAATAATGTGGTGGTCACTCGGAATGACACATAGGCTTCAAGATCTGGCATACGCCGTCACTCGCAAAATGAACCAAAATTAAGATCTCACAATATCACTGAACCATATGTGTAAACCATAAGAGTTTTGGATGGTACAATTTATGAAAGAAGAATTACTTGTCATTTAAATGTGGAACAAAATACGGTGGTCACTCAGAATGACACATAAGCTTCACTCGCAAAATGAAAAAAATGCCGTTACTCGCAAAATGAACCAAAATTAAGATCTCACAATATCACTGAACCATATGTATAAACCAAAAGAGTTTTGGATGGTACAATTTATGAAAGAAGAATCAATTGTCATTTAAATGTGGAACAATAATACGGTGGTCACTCAGAATGACACATAGGCTTCAAGATCTGGCATATGCCGTCACTCGCAAAATGAGCCAAAATTATAAAGATCTCACAATATCACTGAACCATATGTATAAACCATGAGAGTTTTGAATGGTACAATTTATGAAAGAAGAATCACTTGTCATTTAAATGTGGAACAATAATACGGTAGTCACTCAGAATGACACATAGGCTTCACTTGCAAAATGAAAAAAATGCCGTCATTCGCAAAATGAACCAAAATTAAGATCTCACAATATCACTGAACCATATGTATAAACCATAAGAGTTTTGGATGGTACAATTTATGAAAGAAGAATCACTTGTCATTTAAATGTGGAACAATAATACGGTGGTCACTCAGAATGCCACATTGGCTTCAAGATCTGGCATATGCCGTCACTGCAAAATGAGCCAAAATTAAGATCTCACAATATCACTGACCCATATGTATAAAGCATAAGAGTTTTGGATGGTACAATTTATGAAAGAAGAATCACTTGTCATTTAAATGTAGAACAATAATATGGTGGTCACTCAGAAGGACACATAGGCTTCAAGATCTGGCATACGCCGTCACTAAAAATGAACCAAAATTAAGATCTCACAATATCACTGAACCATATGTGTAAACCATAAGAGTTTTGGATGGTACAATTTGTGAAAGAAAAAATCACTTGTCATTTAAATGTGGAACAATAATATGGTGCTCACTCAGAATGATACATAAGCTTGAAGATCTGGCATATGCCGTCACTTTCAAAAAATGAACCAAAATTAAGATCTCACAATATCACTAAACTATATGTATAAACCATAAGAGTTTTGGATGGTACAATTTATGAAAGAAGAATCACTTGTCATTTAAATGTGGAACAATAATAAGGTGGTCACTCAGAGGGACACATAGGCTTCAAGATCTGGCAAGTGCGGTCACTCACAAAATGAAAAAAAATTAAGATCTCACAATATCACTGAACCATATGTATAAACCATAAGAGTTTTGGATGGTACAATTTATGAAATAAGAATCATTTGTCATTTAAATGTGGAACAATAATACAATGGTAACTCAGAATGACACATATGCTTCAAGATCTGGCAAACTTGTGCCGTCACTTGCAAAATGAACCAAATTAAGATTTCACAACATCACTGAACCATAATTATGTATAGATGTAAAACAAGAGTTTTTGACTGTAAAAATTTCACAAGGGAAATCATTTGTCATTTGAAATGTAGTAGAATATTAAATAATAAATTATAGTGACCACTGCTTTGTCAAGTGCTGTCACCTGAAAAGTACAGTAACCCCAAATATCTAACATATTAACTCAGCTGTACAACAAGCCAAATTTCTGAATTATGGACATGCTAAGGTCACATCACCGACTTATATTGGTGTAAAAGAAATGTTTGCCTGCACAGCTCAAGATCCGGCTACTTATTAAGATTATTCTATTAATGAAGACGATGCGCAACAAAAGAGTACAGTTATTTCTGCAGTAAACAAAAAGGAATCAATCAATGGCATATCTGTGCATGCATCTTAAATTTTAAGATTTATCTTTGAGGTTTTAAGCTTACGCAAAGTTATTAGAAAACCAAAGTAAGTAAACGAACCACGATATCAAGAAGAACATACCTTTCTGCAATCCAGCTGAGTTGATGACTTGGAAACAGGCTTTATGTGAAGAATATCGCAACTGATCACTGTCTCTCGAAGATAACAAAGGTATAAATCGTAATAGAACAGCTGAATAGAAAGACAGGCTTTCTATTATCCGAAAATAACAAAACTACTCGTTTTGCAACGCTGTATTGCTTGTGAAGTCCGCGTGAATTTGAACTGTTCAACGAAAGTTTATTTTACACTATTCTATTGGTTCAAAAGCCGCACGTGACAATGTAAATCAAATCGCGCATGAGCCAAAGTCACATGGAAGCCTGGGCAACAAACATGGCGGCTAATCTTGCGACGGAGTGCATTCAGGACTACATTCACCCGGACGATGAAACTCTGCAATCTACTATTGAAATGACTCCTGGGTTCAAACCTTTCACATATTGTGCATTTTGTTCACCCAAATTATAAATGGTAACGTTTTACGTCAGGGCCTCCTATTCCGAGACTTCTCGTGATATTTTTTTTCCGAGCCACCGACACAATATCAGGAAACGCATTCGACGCTAAACGAAAAAAAAGGGGGGATGAAATAACCAGCTGCAGCAAGTGATATTATAAACTTTGAGAAGAATGTGATGGTGATTGAAACGGAAAATGCAATGGAAAATCAAAACTTGCGTGAAATAACACTGTGAAGTTTGGTAAATGTGCAAACGTTGGTTAAAGTGGTCGTAAAGATAGTTCTTTGATCATATTTTGCTTAAATTTACGCCTCTAGTAACCATAAATTTACACATTAACTTTGCTATGCCAGAAAATATCAAGCAAACATTCAGTTTTGACGTTCGATTTTTACACACAGAACAAAATGGTGGCAAATTTGAATCTAAGCACCAAATTTACTATGGGGAGCAAAAGTGAAACAAAATATCTGTAATCTTGATATTTACTCCACATTTACGCCACCCTTGCAGAAAAGTAAACTTTCACTTTCGAACAAAATTTGCACCAAGAGCAAATAAGTAGCAACATTAGTACCCTAAATTTACAATAGATTTGCTCAACTAGCAAACTTACGCAAATCCGTTTTTTCGTCCAGTGTATAAGAAAAACAAAGAAGCTATATCTAATTTATCTTTTTTATGAATGGTGGCCAATACCCTCTTCTTTGTATTCAGAGTTAACTTATCAGAAAAATATAAACAAATTTTAACTCCAACATATAGGCCAGTAGCTCTAATGGATTCATACAAAATAATAACAAACCGACTGCCGTTTATGTGAGAGGCTATAAATAAAGTCACCATTGTGAGATTCCTAAAAAAAAAGGCTCGTAGCTGGACATACCTGCACCGCAGATTCCCCACTTGCGGGTAAATCAAACTCTTCATCTTCTTCAAGTTCTTGCGAGGCGGCCACGTTGCTAGCTTCGTGCACGGCTAGGATATGTTTCATTGCCTACAGACCAGAATTTAGTTTTCCAGTAAAAAAAAAAAAAAAAAACACCGAAGGTGTAAAGATATTGATCGGCAAATCCATAATGTTATTTTTTAACGATCTTACAGTTCAGCATCAATAAATGATCTTGCAGTCTCAAAGAACCAAAAAATATTATTCGTTTTACGAGTTGAAAGCCTGCAGCGAAGGCAACCAAAACACTGTATAAGTGACTTATTCATTTTCGCTCGAACGCGCGAAACACGACAAAACCACTACTGGGCTTTCAGTTCTTGTCATATCTGTTCATTACTCAGTGTGCATGTAGTTTACGCCTGTGTTTTAGAAAAAAACCCTTTTGCCCTTTCTTATGCCGGCTTGAAGCTGAAATACCGCGATCCCAGGAAGTGTACGTGTGAACAAGGATCAAAGGTCTACAATGTTTTATTACTTACCATACGCCGGTCTCTCGCTGACATGGCACTGGAATTGCCCGCTTCACCTAACTTCCAAATCGTTGGAATGGCTCCGGCAAGTGTAACTCTCGGAGCGCCAGGTACATGAACTGCCCGCTCGAAGCAATCGGCAGTGAAATGAACTGAACAAATCTTGAAGAGCCCTTTGGGGTTGAAGTTGGCGCGATGTGTTCGGACGAAGGCTTTCCATTTCTGGCTTTCAAAGCTAGTCTTCGGCTTGTGCAAAGAAATGCCTAATTTAGGATTCGACCTGTTGCTACAGTCTTGAACGACGCAGCGACAAGAAGGCATCTTTCCGCGATGAAAATGAGCGAGATCAGAAAGTCCCCTTTTTCTCGTGAAGAGATCTCACTTTGCTAATATTCGCGCTCTAATTTAAAGGATACGATGACGTAACGCTTGACCTCGAACCAATCCCTCCCTTTCGCTCCGCCATTTCTTGTTTCGGTAATGGCGGACGTCCACCGGAGAAAAACATGGCTCAAAAAGTCGGACTTCCAGTTGGAATTACGGTCTCAAATTTGGTATGTGTATTTATTAGCTTTCAAACATTGTAAAAAACGAAAAAAACAAATGATGCTTGATTTTAACACAGTAGCACTTTAAGCCTACAGTTTGGAAACGCTACATTGACAATACCTTTTCCCTATGGGACATCAGTAAACCAGACATCGAAGCCTTCATCGACCAAGCGAACTTACATCACCCAACTATCAAATTCACGGCCGAAATATCTGACACTGAGACTGTGTTTTTAGACACGGTCGTATACAAAGGCACAAGATTTAAGGAAAAATCTATCCTTGATGTAAAGACACATTTTAAAAAAACGGAAACCTTCCAATACACACATTTCACCTCTTGTCACCCGCCGAGTCTTAAAAAAGGATTTTTCAAAGGAGAAGCCTTGAGAATCCTACCAACAAACTCCTCAAAAACTACGTTTGAGGAAAATATTTCAAATTTCAAAAAACGGTTGATTGACATAGGCTTCCCACAAACTATGATAGAAAACCTTCTACCAGATATAAAGTTCACAGAGAGGGAGTCTGCTCTCCTGAAACACAACAACAAAGAGGGAAAAGAAATATTGCCTTTCGTGACACAGTACCAGCCCTCAGTGTCTACTTTAAAAGACGTTTTAATGAAAAACTGGATCTTATACAAAACCAACCGTTACTTCGCCAAATTTTCAAAGAACCACCTATCATTTCTTACAAGAAAGGAAAATCCCTAAAGGACATGCTCGTTAGAGCTAAAATATAAAAGGTTTACACAAAGTTTCACGTCGGTATAGACGTGCGGCCTGTCACCCCTTGCATTTTGTCACGTATTTTTGAGGTGACAAATCTCATAAACGGGCAACAAATTCAACAGGAATACGCGCGAACTGAACAAATTGTCTGTTGTGTTTTAAAGGTTCTGCTCAACTTACACAATTTTCCCTTGCTGAACATAAACTGTACCGAGCCGTATCTTAGTCCGCTATTCATAAGCTATATCATGGTTCAAATTTTAAACTGTAAGATCCCTAAAAGAGTTCTCCTCAATGGAACAATATGTAAAAGGTTTTCAAAGGTTTCACGCCGGTGAAGATGTGCGGCCTGTAACCTCAGCTCTTGCAAGTTTTTACTATCTATTTCAAGTTTATTACAAAGTGCGACAAGTGTTATTACAAAGTGCGACAGCTTTTTTTTATTACAAAGTGCGATGGTCTGTTATTACAAAGTGCGACAGCTTTTTTATTACAAAGTGCGACAAGTGTTGTTACAAAGTGCGACAGGTATTACAAAGTGTGACAATTTTATTACAAAGTGCGACAGGTATTACAAAGTGCGACAGTACAAAACAAGTCAAACATAATGATGCAGGGCACCTATCGAGAATATAGTTCAAAACCACTTAAACATAGCATTGTTGAACCTATTTTAGTATTTAATTAAACGCCCCCATTCTGGTTTCTGATTGGTGCCAGAAAACTTTTTTCTGCCCAATCAAAAGGCAAAACGGCGGCGACCGTTTGGAACTGGTCTGGTAAGACATTGTCCCCAGGAGCTCTTCTCGCCGTTCTTTACTTTTCTTCGTGCCATATTTTTCCGCCCGTTTAGACTTTCCCTCGCCCCCACTATCTGCCCCTGGGTCTCCGAGGATGTTAAAGCAAGTGTTTTAAACGTTAACATTGTCGTCGGACACTTTAAATTTGAACAGAAACTCTCGAGAAGAAAAGCAAAAATTCGCAAAAAATTACGTCACTTCCGATTCCCTCCAAATTTGGCCCACACGAAGTTAAAAGATTTAGCCAATTATGTGCCCAGTTCCAGCCCCTATCGTGTTTTGAGCTTCACGGAACGACGAAAAATGCCCGTCGGACGGCTTTTGCGAAGAATGAAAGCTTGAATCGACGAATTGAAACCAAATACAAGTCAAGCAAATCATTTTGAAGGATTCTGTAGCTTAACATGTAAACAAACGCGAAAATCGAGGTAAGAAAAAAGTAAGAATCTTTGCCTTCTATTCCCCGAGTCGGCAATGTCTGGCACAAAAATTCTCTTCAAACGTAGTGAATTCCGTCCCTTTAAGCTTGTTGCCTTTAAAGCCTTGCTTATTTTGATGACTTCTATCAGTGAATTCATGTTTGCTTGTTTCTAACTCCATATTTCTCGTAGAAATTAAAAAATAAAGCGTTTTTGGAAAGTAAATATCGGGTGACGAGGTTACGCTCAAGCCTCTATTTCATTATGCTAATTACTCTTACTTCGTTTGCATAATCTGACAGCGTCACAAAAATTTGTAGAAAATTGCTTTATATTTTTGACCGATATTCGGACTGTTTTGCTCAGATATTGAAGAAAAAAATATTTCTAATGTATTATGCACCTATCAATGGTTTGCCCCAGGATAGGGGGGTGGGGGCAACCCACGGAATTAGACTCAGTGAAGCGCTGTGGGTAGGGAATTTGACATCCTGAACGTCCCCAGGATGGGAAATTTGACTCAGCCGCCATCCTGGAAAGTGGAGGACCGGGGAATGAGTGATAGATGGTCGCTTATGGGAGGTGGTCGCTTACGAGAGGTGGTCCCACATGCAGGTTCATCTATAGTTACCACATGTACTCTCACAGGGCGGAACAGTATTTTTTGCTTTAGTCAGTATGGTAAACTTATAAGTGCACAATAATGCACACAAGGCTAAACAAGAAGCGACCACCATTTTTGTTCCGGAACGGAGAAAAAGGAAACAGGATGTTTCAAATTAAATTTTCTCATCCCATGGATAAATGCTTAAGTGCTGTGACGTTTGAGGCAAAAGTAGTTATCTTTCTAATCATATGGTCTTAAGACATCGAAAAGTTTAAATGACTTGATGCGTCTGTCGTAGGCTCGGTCCCATTAGCGCGCGCAATTTAAAACCATTCATAAGACGCGAACTATGAAGTTTAAAAGCCAACTTATCCGAATCACGTTTTCGCTACCGTCAATCATAACTACGATCACAAGCAACAAACCTTGAAACATAGAAACTCACAAAATGGATTGAAATCACTAATCACTCATCGCAAACAATGGCCTTTTCGATTTTAATTCGTAAAAGTAAACTTCTTGATCTCTCTTGCTAACTGAGTTGATTGACGACAGCAGAAGACGCAAACGGTAGCTGGCTTTTGATCTTGGAGTGTTATTGATAGCCACAGTAACCTTGCCAGTGTTCCGTTTCACTGACACCACCTGTGCTTCTACAGTTGCTGTAAATTTGTTTTTATTAATAAACAATTAGAACTTAGTCCAGCTATAACGCGCTCTCTGATTGGTTGAAAAAGAGTGCTTTATGAGACCTTGAGAGTATAAAAAAACGGAGCTAAAACTGTCACTTCATCTGCCAATAGTTTGTTCTGTAAATTAGAAAGCAATGCGTGGGGAATTTAAGGGATTCTTTATCATGAAAAAAGTATATAACGAAGCCTTGACTGAGCTCTTTTCGACTACTTCTCGTGCTTACCCCTACACTTCTTTCGTAGTACTACTCTGGCCGCTTTCTGCGTGCTTCAGTTACAACAGAACAGAGCACGGTCAAGAGACGCCTTTTTTGATAATTAAAAAGCAGTTTGCTGTTAATAATTTATATTTGTTTTTGCTAGAACCAAAAATAGCTAGAACGAAGGTGCAATCATTTTTAATAATGTGTGGGTTTTGTTACTATTTAAATGAAGTTTGCGAGTTGTATAAGACTATACTCATTATAAACGCTCATATTATAACAGTTGTAGTCTGGATGAATTAATGGTTGTGTCGCTTAAAACGGGAGTAAGCATTAGCTTTCACCTTGGTACTGTATTCCTTTATTGAACAGGGAAAACTCCGGGTTAAAAACTCAGTCACAGTAAGCTAATAGCGGAGCTCCACGCGCGGAGCCCCATAGCTAAGGAATTGTGGTAATCTACCCATCCGAGAAAATTTGTTAATCACGTCACCGTACACCGAGCGAGCGACCCTCCATCCGCACCACAGGCATACCAATATAAAATAACTAAATCACCAGGTATGGCAACCCAAATGCAACTCAAGGTTTTATTTGGAAGGAAATCACATGGCCGCCGGGACTTTTAGAAAGAAAAAAACAACAATAAAGTCGTGTCTTTTTATGTTAACACTATCGTGGACAATAGAGAAAGAGCTAGAGCTAAACCTATATGTTATGCAAGCACAGTTTGACAATAAACCTTCATTAAGCGGCCATACCCTTAAGACATCCGGTCCGCTTGCTTGTCCTTGATGGAGGTTGGCAGCTGATAAGAGGATTGTCCAAAATTTCCAAAATCTTTAGCAGAAACTTCTCTTTGTTCTGAAACAAAAACCTTTAGAGGTTTCTGACAACTTCCACTTCCTTTGTACGGTTACGATGGTTTCGTGTGAGCAGATCGCCAAAAAGCGTGGACTTCCGGTCGAAAATTCGTCCGCTGGGCACTTGTAAAGATAATTCTACAATTATTTTGGGACTTTGATCGCTGACCGTTTAATAGATGGCGGCTGCTTAATAGGTGGCAACTTAATGGCGGTTAAACCATACTCAAAAAAAATATAAGGCTATAAATGATAGACTATTGCGGCTGCAATTGTCAGAACTGTTTACAACATTAACTAGGCGTCACGTTCACGCTTGCTTTTAAAAGGCTTGGAAATTAAGGAAAGGAAACCATTAAGTGGGACTGAGAGAAACTTTATTTGAACAGTTCTCAGTTTACGGTTATCCTTATGATTTAAAACAGCGATTATTTCAGGGACGGTGTAGGAAT